TGAAAGAAGAGGGTGAGGTATGATAAGGAACCTGGTTTTATGGAGTGCCGATATGCAAGGCAGGGGTCAGGCTAGCACAAGGCTCTTAGCATGTAGCACGACCTTCCTGCGTGTTCAGCAAAGACCTCTGCCTTATATTTTACCAGCCTTCTGCATTGCTTTGCAGCTAAGGGGACACGGTAGAAGGGTAGCATTTTTGTCTGGTTGCATTAACCAGGTGACAAGCCTTGTTATTGTGCCTGGAGAGAATGGATAGGAAGTGGAGAAATGCACAGACAGAAAGCAACCAACAGAAATATGATAAGTCTTGTAGGACCTAAGGACTGCAGCAGGGAGGAAACACTGAAGACTGTATGGCCCAGGCACTGGACTACAACTCCGACTTGGGCCCTGGTTCCAGCTCGGTCACTGGCCTACAAAATGATCTTTGGGAAGTCAAGTGTCTGTGCCTCAGTTTCCTCCTCCTGGAAAACAGGGTTTCCTTTGTGAAGTGCAATGAGATCTACTGATATTAGGTAATAAGACAAATGCATCCTAAGCTCCCAAGAACAAGCCAAAAGGCCTCCTAAAGCAAAAATCAACCTGAAAGAGGACATGCATACAATAATAATAATAATAATAATAAAAAATAAACCCTCCACAACCTCCCCACCCTGCCACTCACACTTACCTTTTTTTCCCTCACATACAACACATTTTTCCCCCCCTAAAAATCACCAGCTGGAAATTAGTATGCGCATTGTATGTGAGACAATGTGGTAGCAGCAAGGTTTCCTGCTTGAGTTTTGACCAGGCAAAGTGAACAGGTGCTGCTCCCCAGCTGCTGCGACTCAATTACTTACAGAGAAAGATCTTTTACTCTTCTTTCTGCCTTGCAAAAAAACAAGAGGTATATCTTATCCCAGGGTGCATTGTATGTGAGAAAGTATGGTACATCCCAGGATGGGAAAGAACCAGGGGCTCCAATACAGAGAATTGCTGTAAACTTTCTGGTTTCATAGGAAAAGTGCAGAGCCTAGGAAGACAAGAGAGCAGGAAAAACTTGGAGAGAGAAAAAGGCCATGATCCCATAGTACTCCATGGACTACATAGTTACAAGAAGAGACAGCCCTGTGAGTGACCCCTATACAAAAAACAAATAGTGGCAGCTTTGGAAATGCATGTGTCTCTTTTAAAGCACAGCCCACTAAAAGCCACGGTGCCCCTAAGTCTGGCTCTGCTGGTTTTGAGCTAATTGCCAATGTCAGAATGGAGGAGGGGAAAAGAAACCTTCTTGGTTGCTGCACTTGGCAATATTTGCTTTCCTTCCCCTCCTCCCCCGTCTCTGCTGGATGCTCAGAGGGATCCAGCTCCCTGCAGCTGGCCAACCATAGATACTGCAAGTTTCAATAAAACTTCCTTATCTTGCTGGGGAGAAAGTATTGGCTTTTAAATGTTACATGTTCAAACAGAAAATGTTCTTCTTTAGCCTCTGAAGAGCTTTACACAGAACACCACCTCATTTCTTTCTTATATTTTAAAAAAATAAAATAAAGCCCCTTCCACTACCTGGGTTCTTTTCAGTGTGTGGAGAGAGATATATAGCATCCCAGTAAGGATTTTTGTGGAGTAGTCATGAAGGAAAATACTGGGGAGGGGAGACAGACAGACAGACAGACAGACAGACAGACAGACTCCCCTCCCCAGTATAAGTATTGATGCCTTTTGAAGCATACAGTAGGATGCCACCACCATGATGGTGGAGGACACTGTGCTGGTGGAGAAACCACCTGCAAGATGAAATGCAAAACGGAAGTCCTGGCCCTTGAAGCCCGCTGCAAAATTCATATCCGTCTCCCCTCCCCAATATATGTTTTCCATTTTTTGACTATCCCACAAAAATCTTTAATGTCTCCTGGAGTCATTCTGCTTTCCAAGGCTGCATTCAGAGCATCCTTCTTCAATCTCAAATTAACCAGGGTCGGGCATGGAAGAAATGGAAGACAGTATGGTCAAGTGGGTAGAGCAATGGACTGGCTCTTAAGAGACCTGGGGTTTGTTCCATTCCTCTGCCAGCAACCTTCTGTCTCATGGAAAGAAGTATAAAACAACTAGGTGGGAGATTCAGGGCCTTGTCTAGACTCGGCCATTTGTCTGTTGTGCAGGTGGACCTTCACACCTCTCTTCCCCTGCCCATGACATAGCTGTTATGATACCTACTTCTGTAGGTCTTACTGTGCTTTGCCACAGATGGAGAATGCTGAGACTCTGGCACTAGGATGAAGTGATTCAACGTGGGTTATCTGCCTTTTTGAAGCATGCAGTAGGATGCCATCACCATGGTAGTAGAGGACACTGTGCTGCTGGAAGATGAAATGCAAAATACAAGTCCTGGTCATTTGGGTCCATTACAAAATGCATGGCCTTTTACGTACAAAATAGAGCAGTTAATGCTAGTACCACAAGCAAATGTTGCCTTGGATAACAGGAACCTGAGAAATGGGGGATTACATTAGCTGAACTGTTCCCTCTCTAGCTGAGAAGCCCATTTCAGAGTTGTGACCCACTCCTAAGGAAATCTAGTTTCTTCGACCACCCCAGATCACCCATTACATTCTTGACCTTTGCTTTTCTAATTGCTTGAGCAGCCAGCAATGGTTATTTGAATAGTGGTAGGGTGATAAGCGACTCCTCAGCCTGGTCTTGGGGAGTAAGGCCATCCCACATTGAGTGAACAGACGTCACCAAAAAATAAGCCCCACCCATATGCATCTACACCCCCATACTTGCAAATTCCCAGCATATGTCATTTGCTGCAGTCCAAAGAGCTTGTCCCATCCTTGTGCTTGTGCCAAGCTGTATACACCATGGATTTGTGAGCCTACGCATGGGGCAGGTTTATTCTTTTAGCAGCAGATGGCTTCCTTCATAATCTGGGATAGTCATGTCCCGATCTCTATTAGGCCTATGCGAATAGACAGCTATTTGATCCAGCTTCTTATTTGGCTGCTTCAGATGCCAAGGATCCAATCCGGAGCTTCGGACCGAGTTCCCGCTTCGATCCAGCTGAAGCAGCTCTAAAACTTCAGAGCCACCTTAGAGATCTGGCCATAGGGTATAATAGGGAATCAGTGAAATATCTATAACTTTGTTGTTTTTTTGCCTGATTTGGATTAAATGTGCAGGGGTGCTAGCCTATGAGAGCATGAAGTCTGCCAAGTTTCAAGAAGATCAGTGCAGGGGTGTGGGGGGAACTGTACCCCAAATTCTTGAAAGCAAAACTCATATCACGTGTATGTGTTACACCACAGGGGGTGAAAACTGCAGGAGTAGCAGCCCCTGGTGAAGCCACAAAGCCTGACAAGTTTCAAGAAGATCGGTGCAGGGGTTTGGGGGAAACTGCACCTCAAGTTGCGGACAAGCAAAACTCGTGACATGGGTGACTCTGTGTGTGTTAAGGCAGAGCAGGGTGACAGCTGCAGGGGTGGTAGCCCCTGCTGTGGCCACGACACCTGCCAGATGTGGAGGAGATCGGTGCAAGGGGGTTCTGGGGCCCTGCACCCCTAGCTGCTGACAGGCAAAACTCATGACATGGGTGCTTGTGCAACTGACTGTCTGTCTTGGGGCAGTCGATGGTCTGCATTGATTCTTTCCTCTCCTTAGTCTGTGGTTTTGTGCGTTAATTGTTGCTAATTAACTAGTTACATTAGCTAGCAACTGTGTATTGAGCTGGTCCCTGAGTGGATCATGATTGATTGGTAACTGGTAACACAGTAGCCTAGCAGCCAGGCCTGCAGTAGTCCCCCACCCCCCAACCCCAAGACAGACACAGTTGCACAAGCATCCATGTCACAAGTTTTGCCGGTCAGCAGCTAGGGGTGCAGGGCCCCAGAACCCCTGCACCGATCTCCTTGACAGCTGGCAGGCATTGTGGCCACAGCAGGGGCCACCACCCCTGCAGTTTTCAGCCCACTGTGCCTTAACACACGCAGGGTCACCTATGCCATGAGTTTTGCCTGTCAGCAGCTTGAGGTGCAGTTCCCCTGCACCTATCTTCTTGAAACTTGACAGGCTTTGTGGCCTCACCAGGGGCTACCACCCCTGCAATTTTCACCCCCCCCGTGTTGTAACACAGACATGACATGAGTTTTTTTTCAAGAATTTGGGGTGCAGTTCCCCCCGAACCCCTGCACCAGAACTTGGCTGGCTTCATGCTCACAGCAGAGGCTACCACCCCTGCACGTTTCATCCAAATCAGACAAAAAAACAACAAAGTTATAGATATTTCATTGATTCCCCGGTATACCCTACGGCTGGATCTCCGAAGTGGTACCGAAGCTTTTCCGAACCACTTCGGAAAGCCTAACGAAGCCAGCACTTCAATCCAGACATGCTGCTTTGGACGCCAAAGTGTCCAAAGCTTCTCTGGATCTGAAGCCTCGCACAGCCCTAATCTCTATTCCTAGCTCAGTGTTGTCCTCCTAGGCAAGTCTTGGGACCTTTCCATATCTGTTTTCTCACTTGCAGAAGAGACAGAGGTTGCGTACTTCAGAAGGACTTCATTAGGACTATAATGAAGACCAGCACCTGCAGTGCTCCAAAAATAAAGTCACTTCAGCCCAGTGGCTTAATTGGGAATCAAACGTACAAAAGGGGAGGGTGGGAAGTGAGCACCTAGGTAGGAGAGTGCTATGAATGCAAAAACCCACCTGTGGCTCCATCTCTGCTTTGCTGGCTCAGGCTGCAGTATTGCAGTACAGTGTTTTAAAACCCACTGATGGTGGAAAGCACAAAGCCAGCCTTGCATTTGCTTGATTTATTATTTTTTAAAGACCAAAATACATTTAAAAGTAACTCGGTGCAAGACACACAAACACACTTGGGCATGAGTGGAAATTCAAGTGGTCAGTCCATATCTGCTCTAAAAGCTGGCACTCTTGAAATAAATAAATCTTCCTGACAGCTTGACAAGCGTTGAGAAGAAAGCAGAGTTATGAACTGAGTGAAGATAGGAGCCCCGAGGAATTCCTAGGCTGCATTTCACATCCAGTAGGCACAGTTCTGTGGGTGGGGAGCCGGCAGAAATGTATTTTAGCTGGCAAATCTAATGGTGGTGAAAAGAAAGAGCTTCATCTCCTTTGCGCTTATATACTGTACACATTCTTCTGGCAATTGTTCAGCAGGGGTTAAACCATCAGAGGTGGATTTTTAACATTCACATAAAGCACCGTATCCTCAAAGGATGGACTTAGCATAGTCAAGCTTTAAGGGGAGATCAGATCTTCAGAATGATGCAGGAACATAAGCCCCACTGACACATGCTCCCGAGCCACCAGAAAAACCCATCAGTTTGGAGTCTTCCTGACTTTGGTGGCACACCCTTGAAGTGTTTTGTCAGCATCCATCATGAGCTACCACTCCCCATAGTGCAACAGGGGGGTTGCAAATGATTTGGAAGGCAAATTCCCTACCCCACACAGCTTGCAGCATGAAGCTCTGATCCTACAAGTGCAATAGTCCTCCTAGCTAGGAGAGGAGTACGGTTGGAAGCAGGGATGCTGCACGTGTAGATATCCCAGCTAGTTTTCCTTGATCTAACTCCAATACCTGTAGCAGCAAAGCTGTGACAAACAGGGGCTTGCCCATATGCCCATCACACCCAAGACACTGGGTCCTACCTCAGCAGCCATAGCTAGTGTTGCCAGTGCTTCTTCACTAGGTCAGGTGCATTGACAAGTGCAGCAATCTTCTCTGATTGCAGTGTACCCTGATCAGCACCAGGAACTGCACCAAATACCTACACAGGTGAATACATGACCTCCTCCAGCCAGGTGCTATACCAGACCCACCATCCCCTATGTTACCTACTGCTCAGGGTGGATTACCCAGCCGCAAACACACCTATGTAGCAGCCGTGGCGTTCACTACTCACAGATATACTTTTTTTTTTTTTTTTTGGCGCAGCGGCAGAGTCTACGTTAGTGGTTCTCAACCTTTTCAAAGTCAAGACACACTTCGGAAAATGCCAGCTCTTAGTTTTCACTCAGTTTTTGATTACAGAAAAACAAGAGTAATTCTTCTGTTGCAAGGAACAAAGGCCACAGCAGATCCGAGTCTTTTTAACACTGTAAATTCCTATTTGAAATGTCTAGGTTTATCTCTGAATCCTGTCTGCAGACCTAATATTGCATGGCACAATTTGGCACCCTTGAAAGGATTGCATGACACGTGAGGATCACTGGTTGAGGATCACTGATCTAAGCAGACCTCACTGGGGAAGAAGGCTAGGGGATGTCAAGCTCAGTGATTCCCCAAGAGCATGTCACCTCGAGAGAGGTTTCTAATAGATCAGCCTCTCTCCACAAGGAGGCTTTGGATGGCTATTTCCAATAAATGAATGCTTCAAGGCCTCAGCTTTGCCATGCTGGGCACTGTGCTCACACCTGTACAGAGATCATCTATATTCAAGAGGGTGGGGAAAGAAAGCATGACTATTATATTCATCTTGCAGGTGGGGCAACTATGACACTACAGAGGTTCAATTTTTGCTTGTACTTCGCTTTTAGTTTGGGATCCAAGTTTTTTTTGCAAAACCAGGATAGATGATCAGGGGCTGGGGTCAAGGGAAAAGGGGAGAAAAGCTGGCCAAAAATAGTAATAAAAAAGCTATTTTGCCCTCTTCCCCGCCCCAATCAAATCAGAAAATGCCAGTTGGTTGAAGTAAACATTTCCTAGGCACAAAGCAATATGATCTATGAACTTTCTTTGGGGACTTTCTCTGCCCCAGGATGAAGCTGCTGGTCACGACCAGAGACCCACTGAACGCAAAAGTGCCCAGGACCCGGTGCCTGGGGAAAAGGACAGAGCAGGACTTCAGGCTCAGATCTCCAAATCCCAGCTGAGTGACCATCAGCTGTTCTCCTATTTCTTTCTCTCCCCCACAGATTTAGAAGGTCTTGGTTTTGTCTCAAATCACACTTTATTTTTTAATCCTATAAGGCTTTGTGGGATGGGAACAGTTCCTTTCCCAGCTCTAATGGCCAGGACACGAACTCGCGACCTTTGGAGATTTGCAGAAGTTTGGGGGAAGCTGACAGAATTAAATTCAAACTTTGAGCCCCCCCATCCAGCCCCGTTGACAAAGCCACCCTGCTTTTGTGAGGACCTTTGCTTTTATACCTTTCAAGCATATATTCCTACCTGCAACTAGAGAGAAAACAAGAAAAGTTCAGCTTGTGTCGAGAGCTTGAGGGAGAATAAATAAAAGTTTATTTTTCTTCGAGTCACAGCCCTTCAGGAGCTCAGATGTTTCACTTTTTCTCTCCAGCCCTGCGCGGAGGTGGAAGCATCTTTGTCATCTCTCACCTGGCTCAGCCTGCGATTGATTCCCGCATTCAAGAGCAGCGCTGCCTCTATCGAAAGGTCAGCAGATAAGCCTTTGTTGAGCTTTTATATTGTGATCCCTTCTCTCTGCTTTTGCTTCGTTTTACTTATTTCCTTTGGCCCTGGACTCGGGCAATTCAACACCCTCCTCTGGACCTCCGTGCTTAATTTCCACACTATTGGATTTCTCTGCCGGCTCGTAGCCATGAGTCAGCGCCTGAACAGGGGGAGGAAGAAAGGGAGGTTGAGGAGGGAATAGGGTGTTGGTGGTGGTGGGGGGGATGTTAACAACTTGGCCCAGCATCCATTACAGTTAAAATGAAAAATGGGAGGCTATTACTTTCACTGCTCACTGCCTGAAAATCCCAATATGAAAGGACTCGGCTGCAGTGGAGCTGGGCACTTTCATTAGGACTGTATGAGAATCAGGGCCGAGCCATCTGCACACCCAGGTCCCTGGGGGCTGGTAGAGGGAGATGTCCCAGAAGGGCTGAGCCTCAAGGAAATCTGTCTAACCAACACTGGGTCCCTTTATTGCTTCAGCTGCCAAGTTCCCTGCTGCCTTTGTGATCTCTGAGCACCAGCTCAGCATTGCTTTTAGCCCTGATCCCTGCTCTGCATGTGCATGCACTCTCCAGTGTTCAGATAACTCTGCAGCGGTAATGCTAGGGTTCAAGTCCCTCCGGGTAACTGCGCACTAAGCTTGGTATTAACAAACAACCCCAACCTCTTTGTTCCCTGACAGCTAAGACAGTGCCGGGACACGTTCGGGTTACTCAAGAACTCACAGCACAGAAGCAATGAGTTAAAGGAAAGTCTCCCGACTTCCTTGCTCCTTTCATATTGCCTACAATGCCATCAATAACACATGCTGTAAAGCTTCCTCTAACCTCTCAAGCACAGACCAGAACATGTCAACTCCTTCACAAACTCACGCTCAAGAGCAAAACTAATTGCAACCTCAGATGCTCTGGTATCGACTAAAGCAGCTAGTTTCACTCCAGCACTTCTTATTTGGGGTGTTGTTCATGTTGCCAAGGAGCCCAGGTATAAGCGTGGATGCCTACCTGTTAGTGTCAGCCGGTGGGCATGTGCTTCTGTATGGAGTGTGTGCACGTATTACCTGAGCAGCACATATATTTTGGAGATAAGCTGATCCACCGGTCCACTCTCCTCACAATAGCACATCAATGCCTTTCAGCTGCATATGGGAGCAATGCAATTAGCCTCAGGTGCATGTGGTTCATTCTCTCCTCGGGGAGAAAAATGGAGTGTGCGTTCTTTGTTAATACTTGCACACAGCGCTGTCTGTGTCAGGCACTCGGAGGATTGCACCTGGCATTTAGTGCAGCAGGTAGGGAGGCCTGGGATAGCTCTTGGTCCTTTGGGAATTGCCTTTACACCCTAGAAGGAGCCCCTGTGAGTGCTCCACCTCCCATACAGCTGAGCTTTAATCTTGCAGAAAGCTCCATGGTTTCTGAAGAGGAGAGTTGCCCTCCGCTGTCCTCAGCGTGGAGCTTCAGGCAAGCTATGATGTGTCCTGAATTCATGCCATTAAGCATAATGAAGATAAAAGGATGGAGACCTTCAACTAGATTTGGTATTCTGTGGGAAGCCAGCGCAGAGTGGAAGATAGGTTTGGAAACACTTGTTCCAAGCTTTTTGAGGACTACATGCCATGACCCATAGATAAATCTCACCCTGCAGGATCTCAGCCTTCAGTAGCCTCTCACAACTCTAGGGAGAACAAACATCCATCAGGGCTGACACTTAAATGATGCTGATATAATGCAGTCTGAATTAAGGCAAGCCAACCTCTTCCCACTTTGGGTTTGCAATTGAAAAAGGTTGGAGACATGACAGGGGTCACCATGCTTGCCCTGCTGTCTGGGGTTATGAGAGTGGTTTGGGGGTGGGGATTGGAAATTGCACTTTCAAAAGAGTTTAGGTTTAGCCCCCATTCACATTTTCATTTTGCTTAAGATGAAAACACCCCGGGCTTTCTTTTGCTAAAACAAATCGAGGCAGAGCCGCTCAGTGCGGCAGTGGTTGCTTTACACTTCATTTCATAAGCAAGGAATAAACATAAGTCATCTGAGCTGGAAGCAGAATCAGACTCTGGTTACAAGCAACTCAGCCTCAGCTGGGCCTGCCATTGCAGGATGAATGGGTCCATTTAAAATAGATCAGAGCCTGTGTGTTCAGACAAAGAGGGGGATTCTGGGGTGAGGTCCTTTCTGGTCTTCACTAGAGGAAAGAGGGATTTTGGAAGAAGCTGGGCCTGAAAGGAGATGGGGGTGGGTAATGGTTTGTCATCCTCAACTCCTGGAAGGGCAGAGGGATAAGGGATACACAATGGCCTGAAAAATCCCAAAGGATCGTCATTGCAAGCTGGATTTATAGTAGGTCCAATTCCCAGCTGCTCTGTACATCCCATCACAATTTATACCCGTCCAAAGAGGTTGTGAAGCACTTTCACCCACGCTGCTCAAAAAAGTGACTGCACAAGGATACAGACACTCGGGGCCCTTTGCACAATCTTAATCACTGGTGTAGTGGGTGGAAGCTGCTATCCACGGACATGATAAATGGGGCACGCTAGGCGGGTTTCTCCGATACGACAACCCAATTCATTCCAGGCCTGACGGCACTGGGGCTACCTGCTCTCCCGCCTGGTAAGAGCCTGATTCTGCTATATTCTTTGCAAGTCCTGGGGGTGCTGAGCTGATGGGAAATGTGTTGATGAAACATATTAATTAAGAAACAGTCTAAACCCCAAACTATCTTTAGCTTTGATGAAATTTCTCCTTTACAAAAAAATGGGGAAAAAGCTTTAAAATCCCCCAAGTGGCCTGTGCCGACATCTGCTAAGGGAAGAAGCCTGCCATTTCAAAACTAACAAAAAGGGAAATTTCAGCTTACGTTAACTTAGAGCGAAGCAGGAAATGAAGCTGTTGTCTGGGGCATGCATGTATGCAAGCATGGCATTTTGACATCTGGTCACAAATAGTCATAAATAATACACTGGATGTACCCTTGTTGCCTGTCCATGCTGTGAGAACAAAGTGTCTTGGCCTCCTGCACACTGGGTTTACCCTCAGTATGCAACATGGCTCTTCTCAGTACCTCCACTAAGGGCCCAGCTCACGCTGGGATAGCAGCTGTTTGCCTTCCCTATGACAGATGTGTACCCAGAGGTCGTGTTGTTTGCTGCTGCTTCAAGTGAGGGATGTTTTCTGTCTGGCCCTCCAAGCATC